CCCCCTTTTGTTATTATTATTTGCTAATGACCAATACACCCTTACTAAAAATATAGGGTATTACATCCCTCCAACTCTTTTTCTTATTTATTATTTTATTTGCATATTTAATGTTTTTTCTAGTAGTAAAATTTTCACAATATGTTTAATGCTGCAAAAAGAGTTTGCAATAAAGTTAGTAATTGGGACATAAAAAAAGGGGTAGTACTTCTACTTCAGCATCTGGTAGTAATTTAAATGACTCTACACATATTCCTGAAACATTACCTGATAATAATTTAGATTATGAACAATTACAGGAAAATTTCGGTATAGAAGATAATGAATTAGAAATGGAAGATGAGATACCACTTATACCTAGTAGTGTTGGAGCTGGTAGCAGGGGTGGTGGTCGTGGTGCTAGTAGTAGACCACATGTGGCCCCGACTACATAATCGGAGAAAAAGAAGTAAGGTTTGAAATTTTTTTGACGAAATAAAAGGTACCGATAGAGTTAAATGCAAACTTTGTAATGATACTTTTAAACACAAGACTAGAGGACAATTAGGGGGGACTGGGACACTTAGTAGACATATGAGAATTGAGCATCCCATAGAATGGGGTTCTGATGGAGATGAAAAACAAGCAACTTTAAACCCTTCTACTGGTGGACTTATGAAATATAATAAAATGAAGGATCGTGAGGAATTAGCAAAAATAATTGCTTTGGGTTGTCTACCTTTTTCTTTTGCTTCTTCATCATATCTTATTATGTATATTCAAAGGATTTATAATCCTTTATTTAAAGGTATCCCTAGAAGTACTTGTAGATCTGATATCTTTAGACTTCATGGACAATATCAAACATACATACGTTATTTGTTTAGCCACCTTCCTTGTAGAGTTTCTCTAACTTCTGATATTAGCCATGTTGTTAGTGGAAATGATTATTTGACAATTATATGTCATTGGACAGATGATAATTATTGTATGTAAAAACGTATTATCGCTTTTAAATATGATGAAGATCAGAGTCATACTGATGTGTTTATAAGTACTACTATTTGTGAAGTTGTTGAAATTTATAATCTCAAGCAAAAAGTATTTTGTATGTCTTTTGATAATGCTTCTAACAATAATGCCGCAATTTCAATATTTAAACTGCATTTGCAACCACCACTTGACGAAATTTTTCATGTTAGGTGTGCATGTCATGTTTATAATTTATTTGTTAAAAGTGACTTTGATTTATTTTCAACTGAGATTACTCATGTTAGAAGAACAGTTGGTGTTATTCAAGAAAATAGTAGACAATCTAGAATTATGGAATTTAAGAATAAGTGTACCGAGCATAACCTTAAGCCCAGATTTATGCCAGACGAAATTGTTACTAGATTGAATTATACATATATATTTTTAAAATGTTGCTATAAATATAGATTCCCAATAACTAAAGTTGCTAATGCGCATTGTACTGATCCAAACCGTATGCTAACAACTACTATTTGGGAGGCCATTAATGATGTTTTTAAATTTTTACATAAATTTTATACAACTACTGTTGAGTTTTCTGGAGCATATTACCCTATTGTTACTATGGCTTTATTACATATAGCTGAATTTTTTTTTCTACTCTTTGAATTTAAGAAGAAAAAAAATATAAGAATGTCGTTGAAAAAATGCAAGCAAAATTCAAAAAATATTTCTTTCCAAATTCCTTCGATTTACTTAATTGGTGATGTTTTAGATCCTTCTATTAAGATGTCTGATTGTCACCAATTAATCAATGTTTTATATACTTATATGGAGATTGGACCAACTGAAACCCCAGATATATATGTTTGTATTAACAAGCTAAATGATTCTTTACAACAATTATATAATTATTATGCAAATATAATTGATGATGTTGCTCTTAATGTAAGCAATGTTAATCCCACTATGCATTGTATCACTTCTACTACTGTGGATGATAATGAAGGCCTTGATAGTTTTAATATTTTTTCTACATTTTCTAACACTCAAACCAGTAGTAGGAACATTGATGAACTTCAATTCTACTTGCAAAAGCAAAAAAGGGCCTCGCACAAAGGAATTTTCACCGTTGGGATGGTGGCATGAGAATGGAAAGCAATTTCCTATTCTTTCCGCTATGGCTCGGGACGTGCTGAATATGTCAATTTCAACTGTTGCATCAGAGAGTGAATTTAGCCAAGCAATACAACAACTTGGAGACACCCGTCACTCATTGGGAAGTAATGCTTTGGAAGTTTTAGTATGTTTCAGAGATTGGATTAGATCGGAACGAAAAAAACAAGGATGTGAAGATGTTGATAGCCCAGAAAACGAGGAACTTGGAGATCTATTAACACATGGTAACCAATCTGAATTTAACACTCCAGAAGAAGGCCAATCAGTTCATATTGATTATGAAGAACTTACTAAGGCAATGCAAAACCTTTGAATTTACTCTTTTTTCGTTAATTTACTTGTCGTTAAATGTAAACCTTTCAATTTGTAAGTTTGAATTTTGAAATAAATGTAGCACTTGAAATTTATAAGTGCAATTTCTCCCCATCTTCATTTTATTCTTTATATTTTACTTTATATTAATATAACTTACAATAGTTATACAAAATACAAAAAAATTTAAAAATTACACTAACCCGGCCCGTCCCCTTGTACCCATAACCCGTACGGTTCATTTTTTACCCGGATGAATCCGAACCCGTTAAGCCCGGTAACCCCTAACCCGTAGGGTTCAAAATTTTTCCTACCCAGCCCGGCCCGGCCCACCTGTTAGACACCCTTATATGACACGGACAGAGAAAATTTTAAGACCTATGAATTGTTAGTTCAACTATTTTTCTTGATTGTATTAGTTCACCAAACAACAATTTTTTTTGACGGTGGTGCCGAGACGGCTTCCGCATACTTCAACTATTCCGTTAGGTATTTATTATTTTCTATTAGCATAAATACCAAATAATTGATGAGACGAGTTGTGAGGTTAATGCTAGGTTAGAGGTGAGGAGACAGTTCCTGAAGTCTAAAGGTTTCAAGTTGAGCAGGACGAAGACAGAGTGATTGGAGTGTAATTTTAGTATTGGGGCTCATGAAGCAGAAGTGGACGTGAAGCTGGATACACGAGTCATCCCCATGAGAGATAGTTTTTAATATCTTAGGTCTATGATACAGGGGTAAGGGGGAAATCAATGAGGATGTCGCACACTATATTGGAGCAGGATGGATGAAATGGAGGCTCGGTTATGGTATTTTGTGCGACAAGAATGTGCCACCTAGACTTAAGGGCAAGTTCTATAAAGCGGTAGTTAGACCGGCCATGTTGTATGGAGTCGAATGTTGGCCAGTCAAAAACTCTCATGTCCAGAAGTTGAAAGTAGCGGAAATGGAGATGTTGAGATGGATGCGTGGGCATACCAGGGGAGATAAGATTAGGAACGAGTATAATAGGGATGTGGGTGTATCTCCTATAGAAGATAAGTTGCGGGAATCGAAGGTGAGATAGTTCGGACATGTGAAGAGGAGAGACACTAATGCCTCGGTTAGGAAATGTGAGAGGTTGGCCTTGGCGGGTCAGAGGGGGAGTAAAGAGAGAGGCCTAAGAAGTACTGGAGTGAGGTGATTAGGCAGGACAATGCGCTATTTCAGCTCACTGAGGACATGACCCTCGATAGGAAGGTGTGAAGGTTGAGGATTAGGGTTGTGGGTTGACAGACAGTCTAGAGTTCGTCTAGGCATCCTAGTAGTATTAGTACTAGTCTTGTATTTTGCTATTACTAGCCCCTTGTTATTTCACATTGTGTCATTATTTCCAGCACGATTGACTCTATTTTGATAGTGTCGTCTTCTTAGATATCTATTGTTGCACGTATCTTCATTTGCGCCCATGTCTAATTACCTTGTTGTTGCTATTGTTTGTTTATTGCTTCATTTTCACTTCTTTTGAGTCGAGGGTCTTTCGGAAATAACCTCTTTACCGTCATTAGGTAGGGGTAAGATCTACATACACTTTACCCTCCATATTGTCACAGCCCCCCTTTTTTTTAAAAACCTTGCTTAATCCTCTTAAATAAATAAAAAAATTTGTAAAGCTCAAAAGGGTTTTCAATTATGAAAGTGACAAAGGATTGTGTTTCAAAAGATATTTCAGAGTCGCCACCTGACATTGGTTTCGGTGTGTCAGGTTACCGTTTTTCTAAAAATATTTTTTCCTTTTAAAACACTTTAGACTCCAAAACTAAGTCTGCACCAGAGATTCGGGTAAGGGGGTTCATTTGACTCGGGGAGAAGGTGTTAGACATTTTTCGAGTCCTGTAACTAGTACGGTTGCGTACTCGATCAAGTTGACTTTTAGAATGTCCGAATTGAGGTAAAACACACAAAGGAAAATAAACATCCAAAAGGTTCGAGGTCGTCCCTTCCTAAAAAAAATAAAATAAAATAAGCCTTCTTAACTTATACTAAGCCTCTATTGATGATGCCACGACTCCATTTACATTTACTTAAGGGCATTCCCCGGGTTAAAATATTTACAATATCTACGGGACATTCCCCGGATAAATTTATCTAAGGGACAACCTCTCACCTCGAAACCAAAAGCAAATGAAAAATCCTAAGGTTGCCTACCTAAGTGTCGTTGGCCTAACATGCTCCTAGCGAATAATAATAAAACGAGAATAAGTAAATAAGAGAAAAACTAAAAGAAATTTAACTTCGGGTCATGTTCTTTTAATTTATCATTTCCATGTATTTAGACCAAGCCTAATTCTAGCATGCAAATAAGTTTGAACACTAATGGGCTAGTCTTTTTCCCAACTCCCACGGCCCAACAATCATAAAAATGCCTAACAAACAAAGGAGAACGAAATCCAAATCACACAAGGAAAAATGCATATGAAATGTCAGTGAAATAAAGGCCTGGTGAATTAAAACATGATTAGAGCCATCTAAATCTAGCCGACCGCCTCACCTTCTTACTTTTCTATATTTTTGCTTTTATACCTCCAAAGTCCCATGTGACATTAAGACCTTAATATAACAACCTTCTATTGAAGACTAACAGAAGACACTTCAAAGCATTTTTCATAGGTGAACACATTCCCTTGATGCAACAAGTTATCACCCTAAATTTGGGGAGATCACACAAAGGCTAAAACAAGTTAATCAAATGCAGAAGATATAATGCTCACACCTTCAAATGGATTAACTCAATTCAAACAAAGAAAAGGTTCAGTAGTCGAGTGAACATTGAAACTGTTTTTCAAAAAAAAAGAAACGGTCGTGCCGCCATCTATCATGAGCAAATTCACTGATGGTTCAAAGCGCTGGACGGGATTGAAGAAACTTAGCTTAGATCTCACAATAACAATTAGACAGAGGACTAACACGGCTAAACAACTAGACATGCTTTCAACAATGAAGTGAAATATCCAAGCAACATTATCATTTCGATGCTGAAACAGATTCGCCTAAACAGATCATTTACACTCAAAGTCAGCCACGCGAATAGAAGCCCTTGAAAGAGCTAACAGGCACATAGTTCTTGAAACAGGGAGGTTGCCCTCCAACTGAACTGAAACTCGACGCTAACAATAAAGACAAACAGATTTAAACAATAAACCAAGACGACAATAGGAGCACTGCCAATATTAATTAGTCATTCCAACTTCCTTAATTTAGAATAAACCACCAAACTTACCATTAGCATGCCAAGAGATCAAACTGAATTTACTGAATAATGAAGCTTGACGCGAATCAGTGTGAACTAGCATACAAGAGTGAGCGAAACAACAGGTCGAACTTTGCTAAATCAACGCAACTAAACCAATTCAAGTTAGGCCATAATTTAACCAATCTAAATCTCATTGAGAATCACCCTCAAGCAGATCAAACAGACAAGAATACGAAATCAAGCATAATATCAGAACATTACTCAATAGAAATAGAGTGCCTAGCGAAAAACAGAATATCAAATCTCTTGCTCTTGCAAATCAGTATCAAAGGTTACTCCCATATTAAACCTCTAAGGAAATGCGACCAACGATCTAGCCCTCCAGAAACGGATTCCCTACGGCTCGTATCATGTTTTAATAGCACCAAATACAGAACAAAGAAAGAATCAGAGGGGAACCTGAAATTAACCTCGATTGATAACACTCCAATAGCTACAATGATTCACAAAGAACGAGCTCGAACAAGGAATTGCAACGGAACCCGAACCACTGAACTCGACCTCGAACGGCAAACTCGACTGGAAAACGAGCTTCAACTCAACAAGACTCGAATGGCAATTTGTCACGTCGAATCGGCAAATAAACCTTCGATCAAACTCCAAACCTCAACTGATCCTCATCTTCGAATTTAAAACCAGAAACTGAAATAATTTTTTTTTGATTATCAAAACCAAACAGAACTTCTCTTCTTTTTTTTTATACGAATCAACTGAAAATTAGAAAAGGAAGACTCAAATCAAAACCAAAACCCCTCCTTCCTTTTTTTCATTCTGTCCAAAAACCAAATATATATATCTCTCTCGAATCTTCTTCTTCTTCAACAAGAAATCCCCAGAACCGTGTGGACCCCCTCCAAGATCCGAAAATCCCATTTTAAACAAAAAATCAGAAAATGGAAGTCTTGGATCAAAATTTTAATCCAACGGCTCCCATTTTCCGACATTTATCTCAAGGATTCAGATTTTTTGTTTAAACAAAAGAAATAAAAGAAGAAATACGCATGAATCGGACTAAAATGATGTGATTTGGTACGGAAGGGATGACGTGGAAGAAGGAGAAGACGAGGGGGGACCATGGGGGGACTAGGGCTTACGTGGAACGTNGCCCGATTTGGGCCATGTTCCTGCCTGAAATTGGGCCAAAAATTTGGTTTTTCTTCCATTCCTAAGGTCCATTGACTAACAAACCCAATTTCTTGAACTATATATATATATAAAATTAAATTAAATATATCATACTATGAAACCATTTTTTTTAATATTATTTTTATACAAATTATTATATTCAAAATAAAAGTGAAAAAATCATGGTAAAAACAAAAGATATGGCTATAAAATATTGTAACCTAAACTAAATAGAATAAAATAGAACATGAAACTATTATTTATTTATTTTTTTTTCAATTTTGTGCCAAAAAAATAGAATTAAAATTATTAATAAAGTAAAATCCTATAGAAATAAACTCAAATAAATGTCTTAAAAAAATACTAGGACTATTAGAGGTGATTCTAATGTGCGGGTCAAAATTATATGTCTACAGCTGTCCCTCTTTGACGATTTCAGACAAAGAACAACAAGACATGTTTTTGAACCGACCCTTATTTAGAGAGACAAAAACTAAAAAAAAAAAATGTGACCGAGCCCTGATATCTGAGGTGCCTACATATCCTTGGCTATAAAGGAATCAAGCCATTTGTAGCTCGAAAGTGCGTGAGATGATGGAGTATACCGAGGTAGAGAGACGGTCGAGGTGCCGTCGAGGTTCCGGTCCGCGATTCCTGCCATTACATCGAAGATAAAAGGAAAAATTACAGCAAAAGTAAAAGAAAAATACAAGATCCTATCTACTTCTTGTCTTGAATCTTCCTTGAATCTCTACTTGATCTTCGATATGAAACTGAAAAATGGAACCTGTTCTTCAAGCGGGCTTCTGATGCTTCTTGAATTTACGAATTGAAGTAACTCTGAAATGAATTCCCTCGTTCTCCAGGTGGGCGCCTGCCAATAGCTTGACTTTGGTATAAAATGAGTTTCCTCGTTATCCAGGTGGGCGCCTGATTACCAACAACTTGAATTGTGTTCCCTCGTTATCCAGGTGGGTGCTTGATCGCCAACAACTTAAAATTGTATTTCCTCGTTATCCAGGTGGGCGCCTGATTACCAAAACTCGAAATTGTACTCCCTCGTTATCCAGGTGGGCGCCTGATTACCAAAACTCGAAACTGTATTCCCTCGTTATCTAGGTGAGCGCCTGATATTGCAACAAAACAGACAAAACAAAAGAAATTTTTCTGCCCCAGTTTGGGATCTGGGCATATGTGAGTGTTAATCGGATCATGTTAACTATAGAGCTCTAAGAATTCAAAAGCTAAATCCCATTATCCAGGAGGGTCCTGAGAATTTAAAACTAAATCCCATTATCCAGGAGGGTCCTGAAAATTTAAAAACTAAATCCCATTATCCAGGAGGGTCCTAAAAATTTAAAAACTAAATCCCATTATCCAGGAGGTTCCTAAATTTTTTAAATTAAATCCCATTATCCATGAGGGTCCTGAAAATTTTAAATTAAATTCCATTCTCCAGGAAGGTCCTGAGAATTTAAAACTAAATCACATTATCCAAGACGGTCCTGAAAACTTTAAATTAAATCTCATTATCCAAGAGGGTCTTGAGAATTTAAAACTAAATCACATTATCCAAGACGGTCCTGAAAACTTTAAATTAAATCTCATTATCCAAGAGGGTCTTGAGAATTTAAAACTAAATCCCATTATCCAGGAGGGTCATGAAAATTTAAAAACTAAATCCTATTAACCAGGAGGGTCCTGAGAATTTTAAAAACTAAATCCCATTATCCAGGAGGGTCCTGAGAATTTTAAAAACTAAATCCCATTATCCAGGAGGGTCCTGAGAATTTTAAAAACTAAATCCCATTATCCAGGAGGGTCCTGAGAATTTTAAAAACTAAATCCCATTATCCAGGAGGGTCCTGAGAATTTTAAAAACTAAATCCCATTATCCAGGAGGGTCCTGAGAATTTTAAAAACTAAATCCCATTATCCAGGAGGGTCCTGAGAATTTTAAAAACTAAATCCCATTATCCAGGAGGGTCCTGAGAATTTTAAAAACTAAATCCCATTATCCAGGAGGGTCCTGAGAATTTTAAAAACTAAATCCCATTATCCAGGAGGGTCCTGAGAATTTTAAAAACTAAATCCCATTATCCAGGAGGGTCCTGAGAATTTTAAAAACTAAATCCCATTATCCAGGAGGGTCCTGAGAATTTTAAAAACTAAATCCCATTATCCAGGAGGGTCCTGAGAATTTTAAAAACTAAATCCCATTATCCAGGAGGGTCCTGAGAATTTTAAAAACTAAATCCCATTATCCAGGAGGGTCCTGAGAATTTTAAAAACTAAATCCCATTATCCAGGAGGGTCCTGAGAATTTTAAAAACTAAATCCCATTATCCAGGAGGGTCCTGAGAATTTTAAAAACTAAATCCCATTATCCAGGAGGGTCCTGAAAACTTTAAATTAAATCCCATTATCTAGGAGGTTCCTGAGAATTTAAAACTAAATCCCATTATCCATGAGGGTCCTGAAAATTTAAAAACTAAATCCCATTATCTAGAAGGGTCCTGAGAATTTTAAAAACTAAATCTCATTATCTAGAAGGGTCCTGAAAATTTTAAAAACTAAATCCTATTATCCAGGAGGGTCCTGAAAATTTTAAAAACTAAATCCTATTATCCAGGAGGGTCCTGAAAATTTTAAATTAAATCTCATTATCCAGGAGGATCCTAAGAATTTAAAAACTAAATCTCATTATCCAGGAGGGGCCTGAGAATTTTAAATTAAATCCCATTATCCATGAGGGTCTTGAGAATTTAAAACTAAATCATATTATCCAGGAGGGTCCTGAAAATTTAAAAACCAAATTCCATTATCCAAGAGGGTCCTGAAAATTTAAAAACTAAATCCCATTATCCAAGAGGGTCCTGAAAATTTAAAAACTAAATTCTATTATCCAAGAGGGTCCTGAAAATTTAAAAACTAAATCCCATTATCCAAGAGGGTCCTGAAAATTTTAAATTAAATCTCATTATCCAGGAAGGTCCTAAAAACTGAGAATGAACTTACCTGAGCCATGCTCTCATCTTTGAGGATTCTGAACATAATTTCTTGCTCCCTCAACCATGTTTTTTCATGGGAGATCCCTGTGGATTTAAAAAATTTCTTGCCCCTGTTTCAGACAAATAAAATCTTGTTAGTTTGAAAACGTGGTGGTTAGTTTGTGGCATCCTTACTGAGTGTCTGCTTCCGCCACTGCCATGCTTCATTCTGACTAGCTGCTTCGGGCTAGCAAGAAGTTGTTTGACCTTTTGATTGGATATGGACCACAAAACCTCTGCATAACCTGAATCTCTCACACTCACTTGCTGCATTGTGTTTTCATTTTGAAAGTTGTTGAATCCTTGTATTTTCTCAAAATTCAAGATTCACTTGATTGCCTGAACCTCAGTTATCACCATACTGCTTATTCTAAATCAAGTCAATTGTGATGTGCCTGGCCGGACTCCGCTTTGTGCAATTTAGAAGCTGGTAGTAGGCTTTGAAATCCTTTCCTGCTTGTTCAACAAGGGTTGACTCAAAAGAGACCCATAAAGATAGACTCAAAGAGCAAAGTGAAATGAATTTTGACAAAAGGAACAAAGGAAAGTTTTGAGCACAGACGACTATATGAAGAAGAATGAGAAAAGAAGACTTATTTGAGGGAAGCAGCCAGTTCCAATGATCATGACATGCATTTCGGAATGATCAGCCTAATTCGTCCAACCAATCATATTTTCAGTTCATGTCCTGTCTTCATACTTCAAAGCTGGGCTTTCACTGATCCAATTTCTCGGTAAAGTCATGAGCCTCATTCGACTTGTAGAGTCCCGAAGGGTTTTCACCTACAAGCCTCTCTCATTTGTTCATCTTTCAACTCACCATCGCCTTACGGTGCCCGCGAGGGTTTTCACCAATAAGACTCTCTCATTTTAAATTTTCTCTCAACTCACCATCGCCTTACGGTGCCCGCGAGGGTTTTCACCAATAAGACTCTCTCATTTTAAATGTTCGCTCAACTCACTATCGCCTTACGGTGCCCGTGAGGGTTTTCACCAATAAGACTCTCTCATTTTAAATTTTCTCTCTTGCGCCTATGAACAAAATGTTACCCATTATGTAAATCATACCTCTATCTCACTTGACCTGGCATCCTCAAAGATTGATCGGAAGGTCTTTCGTTGGACCGTAATGTAGGCTTTTGGACAGGGTTAGAAAGAAAGGGTGGCATGAAGGCTCAAACTAACTTAAGATGAAAAGGGGTCAAAATTACAACTTTTGGAATCAGATCTTTTCAAAACCAAAACTTCTGCCCCGGTTTCTTTGGGTCCGGGGAGTTTTAATTTATTTTTGATGGGACCGAACCGTGAGGCTGCCTACGTATCCTTAAAAGGAATCAGGTCGAACGTAGTTCAAAAAGAAAGTTGTTTGTTTTTGTTTCCCTTTTTTTTCCCTTCTTTTCTTCCTCTTTTTTTCTTTTATTTTTCCCTTTTTTTTGTTTTTCTTATTTTCACTCATTCATCATCATTTTTTTTCATTCTCTACTTATACTACTAATTCCAAAAGAGGGGTATGAAAGAAAATAAATAAAGCTCAAAAGGGGTAACAAAGGATGAAAGTGTCTGGGTAGCGGAACAAAATGTCTTCGTCATTTCAACTTTGAATATGCCAAGTACAAAATACAACTGAAGGTAAGAAAATAAATCATACATAGTACCTCTTAACTGCATCAGAATTGATAGCCATATCTGCACATTTACCTTCTATGTCTGTTAAATACAAAGCACCATTGGGCAACACTCTTGTCACAACGAATGGCCTCTGCCAGTTTGGGGCGAACTTGCCTTTGGCTTCCACCTGATGAGGAAGGATATGTTTCAATACCATCTGGCCCACTTAGAATTTCCGAGGACGCACCTTTTTGTTGTATGCTCTTGCCATTCTTTTCTGATACAATTGACCATGACATACTACAGCCAATTTTTT